TCTGTGGGCAAAAACCCTTCTTTGTTTTTGCTTCTCCCAGACCCTGGGCAGAGCTCCCTGCTCCTGGATCCTACACTGATAAGTACCAAATTGAATTCTACGAAAGGGTGCATCCAAGAGTACACAAGCTAAGTGAAATGTAATTTGTGGGACCTCATGTGGACATTTCAGGTCCATGTCTACAAGATAAAAGTGACAAAAGCCTGGGCGTCACCACAGGCCTGGGAAAATGACCTTCGACTAAGCTTAATAAGAGCATCCAATACATAAACAGTAGGCTCTCTGCCACTTCTTTGGTCCTTCCACTGCCACTCTTCCAGAAAGCAAAGGGTTCTCTCCTGTTCAGACTTTGGCTCTGAGACCACAGCTCAGCACATCACTCCTCTAGAGAAAAGAAAGTCTGAGATGAGAGAGCGAGGCTGCTTTCATGTGGTGCCAGCGTGCGGTGCAGGGCAGGCCTGATCGCAGAACGGATCCCTGCACACCTGAGCGGTCGCCTCCCCTTTCTAGTGCCCATTTCTTCTCCTTTTTGGGAAGACTGTCAGCATCCTCAGTGCAGGGCCGTGTCTTTATTTCTTGGCTGTCCCTGCAGTTTCTAGCATGATGCTTTGATTAATTGCAGATGCTCAGTCAACGTTTGTTGATGGCTTATGTGACAGAGGTGAAATTATTCTTTCATCTGGGTTTTACCTTTTCCTTTCCTTTTTTTTTTTTTTTTTTAAGAGGTAAGGGCCCTCGCTGGAATGTAGTGGCACAATCATAGCTCATTGCAGCCTTGACCTCCTGGGCTCAAGCGATCCTCAATCACCTTGGCCTCCTGAGTAGCTGGGACAATAGGCATGTTCCGCTATGCTCAGCTATACCTTTTTCTTTCCTTGCGCTCCCCTGGCAGAGATGCTGGTAAGCAATGAACCAGTCAAGAGGACAGCAGCAGGAGGGGAAATGGAACAACCCCATAATTCCTAGGCCAAGCAGCTCCTGGCTCACAGAGGAAGTCATGTTCCATGTTTCAACATATCCTTAAACTTCATTCAATTCCAAAATGCATGAAGATGAAATGGGAATTTTACCCAGGATTTTTTGTGGGCTGTCAAGGAGAAGATTTAACATATTGCCAACTCTTCTCTTCAAATGATTTTTAAATTTTCTTCCAAGCTCTCAATTATTTCTCCAAAGCTCCTCTGCTCTTTCCACTCTGCCTGGGTCCTTTCTCTGCCACTCTCCTCAACATGACTTCTTCATAATGGGCCAGCATTTCATTTGTTGTGTAGAGCAAGTTTTCTTGCCCTGGCCACCTCCAATTTGCATGTTATGCCTCCACACCAAGTGAGCCTCGGAGCACCAGTGTTTTAATCCCTGAGAACAATCCTCGGGGGATTCAGCACAGAGTCCTCTTAGCAGCCTGCAGTCTCCAGAGTGACACATCCTCAGCAGTCAAAGTGAGCAAGCTATGGTGCCCGTCACCAAGGGGGCCCACCATTCCCCTCTGCGCTCACTTCTCTCCTACTTCCTTCTTCCTAATTCCATCCTTCCTCCTTCCCTTTTATTTCTGCATTAAATGATTCATGGTTATTCCTTTCATAGAAGTATAGGGGTGTCTGTGCCACTTGGTTCTATGGGCATTTTTTTTTTTTTTTTTGAGATGGAGTTTTGCTCTCGTTCCCCCAGGCTGGAGTGCGAGTGGCATGATCTCGGCTCACTGCAACTTCCACCGCTTCAGTTCAACCAATTCTCCTGCCTCAGACTCCCAAGTAGCTGGGATTATAGACACTCAAAACCACACCCAGCTAATTGTTGTGTTTTTAGTAGAGACAGGGTTTCACCGTGTTGGCCAGGCTGGTCTTGAACGCCTGACCTTAGATGATCCGCCCGCCTCAGCCTCCCAAAGTGCTGGGATCACAGGCATGAGCCACCACGCCTGCTGGTTCTATGGGCCTTGTTGAAGTGACCACTGACAAGTGGATTGATTTCTCATCACCAATCTCCTTTTTTCCTCTACTCCTTTGACCCCATTTCCCAATCTAGACTCTCATAAACAGAAATGATTTCTGTTGCAAGATAACTGTTCATTATTGTGGTTGGAGTCGGTGGTGGCAAATCAAGCTTTGAAGTTGTCTAGATAATAAATGCTGTCTTCAAGGACTGTCCAACGTTGTAGGAACAAGAGAACAATCCAAGTGAACAACTAACTCCCACCCACAGTTGCTACTGCCTCTCCGCCATCCCCTAACCTCAGCCTCATGCACTTGGAGTTCACCAATCCACCTGATGAGCTCAAATCAGTGAATTTTCTCCTCGCCAAAGCTCACAAATTCTGTTTCCCACTTCTTGCCCCATATCCAGGCATTAAAAACTGCATTTTCCCTTTGCCTGATATTCTGGCATCAAGCCTTCTTCTTGCTATTCCAATTTATTTCACCTTCCTCCAGTTCTTACTGTTTCCCTCCTGGAGAGTATCTCAGCATCTCTATGCCTCAGTCTCCCCTGTACACCCCACCAGCTCAGCCTCATTATCACATCGCTCGGTTATGTTCCACCTGGGTTAGGCAGCTACAGTGGCTGAAGTCCACAGATCTTGCAGCCATCCTTCAAGGAAAACACGTGGGACTTTCCTGATCACATCAGCTCAGCAACTTTTCCCTCCAAAATTTCAATTGCTCTTCTTATGATCATTAGTGGTCTTAAACCTAAGGGAAGTCGGTCTGGGTCAGAAATTTGTTATCTGCTGTGATGAGCAGTTTCTTCTGGGAAGTACCAAGCGTTTCTGATAATAGACTTGAGCAATTTCCTGATGAAGTGAGACTCGGCTTGCTCTATTGACCATCTGTCCCTGGATGAACTTAGTTACCTTTAACCAAATGTTCTTTTCTTGAACTTAATCTACCAGTGTTATCTAGATACCTTTTCTTTGAAAAAAAAAAAAAAATCCTCTACTAGGTAAGAAATTTTTGAACTGGACTTATTGGAAATTACCTCCTTGCAGCAGGTTTGAAACAAAATTTTGAATTTGCCTCACAAAGAATTTGTCTGAAACTGCTTTAGTGTATGCCAGTTGTATTCATATGCATGTGTGTCTTCATACACAGGGACTGGACACCCGTATGTGTTATGCACTGCATTAGGTGGTGTGAGCTCACCAATAAGCTGGACGTAGGGCCATCCTCTAGAGGCCCACAGTTTCACACCTTGACCTGAGACCCTTCGACCCTTGAAGTTCAAAGCGCCCACAACTGCTGGGTGTGGTGGCTCACACTTGTAATCTCAGTACTTTGCAAGGCTGAGGTGGGAGCATGCCTGTGGTCCCAGCTACTTGGGAGGCTGAAGTGGGAGGAACACTTGAGTCAAGAAGGTAGAAGCTGCAGTGAGGTGAGATCGCAACACTGCACTCCAGAAACCCTGTCTCAATCAAAACAAAGTGCCCATCCTGAAACTTCCTACAGATTTATCCAGGGTGTGTGCTCATGTGCATTGTTTCTAAGGATAAGAAAAGAGTTTTTACCATTGTAGAAGACAGTATGGAGATTTCTCAAGCATCTAGAATCAGAAATACCATTTGACCCAGCAATCCCATTACTGGGTGTATACCCAAAGGAGTAGAAATCATTCTACTATAGGCCAGGCGCCGTGGCTCATGCCTGTAATCCTAGCACTTTGGGAGGCTGAGGTGGGTGGATCACCTGAGGTCAGGAGTTAAAGACCAGCCTGTCCATCATGGTGAAACCCCACCTTAAAGAATAATAAAATAAAATAAAATAAAAATCATTCTACTGTAAAGTCACATGCACCCATATGTTTATTGCAGCACCATTAACAATAGCAAAGTCATGGAACCAACTGAAATGCCCATCAGTGATAGACTAGATGAAGAAGACGTGGTACATATACACCATGGAATACTACACAGCCATAAAAATGAATGAGATCATGTCCTTTGCTGGTCTCAAACTCCTGACCTCGAGTGATCCACCTGCCTTGGCCTCCCAAAGTTCTGGGATTGTAGGCATGTTCTACTGCACCTGGCTAATTTATATATATATATATATTTTTAATAGAGACTGGGGTTTCACCATGTCTGCCAGGCTGGTCTCAAACTCCAAACCTCAGGTGATCCACTCGCCTTGGCCTCCCAAAGTGCTGGGATTATAGGCATAAGCCACCAGGCCCAGCTGATGTGATGCATTTCGGAAGCATGAATTCCTTTGCTTGCCTGGATGATTTTCTTTCTGTTAATATCTTTGCTTCTTTCTAGTATTTAAACAATTGTGTTTTGTTCTAACTATCCAATGGCTTTAAGTCTGAGACAAACTTCCAGGGAGCAAAACAGTCAACCGTTTCACAATTATCAGAAGAGCCCTCGGGTTGTAAATAAACAAGACTGAATTTTACAAAAATCCAAAGTTTAAAACCAAAGCCCACTTTTTGCATGATCCTTTAAGAGAAAGACGAATCTGGAAGCAAAACACCTTACAAAATGACAGCGTGCTTTCAGGAGCCCAGGGCACCGTGGTGAAATGATAATGGCTTGTTTATAGTTCACAGATTATAAATCATGGGGGATTATTTATGAATTCTCAGGATTCATCAGTTTGCTGCATCCTTCTCCATTATTTGAATATTGGAGGCTGCCTGACCAGGATCTTGGCAGGACTTTGCTCCTTCATCCCAGGTGGTCCCTGCTGACTCCCCAGGAAGCTGTAACCCTGAGGGAGGACTCAATTTGCAAAGTGCTGGGCGAGACCACTGCCAAGAAGTGCTTGCTCACCCTACCTTCAACGGCAGGGGAATCTCCCTCTCCTTTTGTGGGCGTAGCTGAAGAAAGGATTCATACATGAAGCTTGATCCTTCTCATCAACCCCAGCTCACACCTCCAGCAATTGAACTTGAAAACAAAACCTTGGTTAAAAGTTACCGCAAACTATATATTGTCATCAAAAAAAAAAAAAGAGAGAAAAAGAAAAAAACACTTCCTATATTTGAGATGAGAGAATAGAGTGCGAGGCAGTTTCCTGGCTGAACACACCAGCCCAATACTTAAAGAGAGCAGCTCCTGACTCCGATAGACACCTGATGGGCCCACAGGGGTGACAGTCCAGGCGGACTGATCTTCCCATCCCACATCCTCCCAGCGTGATGCCAAGAAAAGGCTGACTGCAACTGGGCCTTCTGCAGAGAAAGACCTCCTCTTGACTGCCCCGGCTGCTCCCAAGGGCCAGGAAGATGGATTCACACCTGCTGATGTGGGGACTGCTCACGTTCATCATGGTGCCCGGCTGCCTGGCAGGTAAGGGCCTGTGGGTGCCCCCGGAATTCCGGGAAGGCTGATGGGCATCCCTCTCCCAGCCACAGAACCAGAGGGAGCCCCAAGTAGATGGTTCCGAGAAGAGAGTTGAATCTTGGGTTCCACCTCCTGCCCGTGACCCGCAGGGACCCCAGTTTATGCCTCAGTGTTCCTCAGTCTGTCAAGAGAGCCTGAAATAGCATTAGGTTCTCTTGTCACTCACAGTCCTTGACAGTTAATTCTGGGACAAATAGCGTGACATGATATTTGGATGTTACCAGGGCCCTGAGGAGCAGGTTCCTCAAGAAGTTATCTTTTATTCTTCAATGAATTTCCTTTTATTCTCTGCACTCCATGCGTCCGCTAAGAGGCTATCAGGAAGCTCTTTAAGTTCAGGTTAATTTGCTGGAGACATCAGTGCTCATATATCAAATACTGGGATAATTTAAGATATCAGAAAAGTTTAGCTTCAAGGATGTATGCCTTGCTTTACTGCCTCAGGAACTAATACCTAGGAATTTCCTTACAAGTGAAACTTTACAGAAATTTTTTCAAATATGCATGCTCGCCTTTAGAATATGACTACTTCTCATATTCCTATGTATACACATGATATGTATATGTATATGTGTTTTATATATGCAAATTTTAAATGTCATTCCTGCTTTCAAATGGGTTTTCTCAAAGATTTTTTTTTGACACATGGTCTTTGTCACCCAGACTGGAGTGCAGTGGCGTGGTACTGGCTCAGTGCAACCTCTGCCTTCCAGGGTTAGTGGTCCTCCCACCTCGGCCCCCTGAGCAGCTGGGACTACAGGCACACGCCACCATGCCTGGCTAATTGATTTTTTTGTAGAGATGGGGTTTTGCCATGTTGCCCAAGCTGGTCTTGAACTCCTGGGCTCAAGTGATTCACTCACCTTGGCCTCCCAGAGTTCATGAACCACTGTGCCTGGCCGAGATTTTTTTTTTAAAAGAAATAAAAAACCACCAACTTCTACCTCAAACCACTCTTCCTAATTGAGTGTAAATTTTCTAATAATGTCTTCCCTTTGTTTACTCAGGAAGACAGATATGAAAGTTTATAAATTTTTTTGAAGGTTCATAATGGCAAGAAGTAGAATGCTAACTGGCTTCAGAAATAATCTATTAAGAAATGAAAGATGATGATGCCTCTGAGGAGTCAGCTCGCTTGCTCAGGGGCAAGTGGCCAAGTCATGCTGGGCTGTGCGCTGGCCCAGATGTAGCAATCAGTGTCTTTAAAGAGGGCATTTGATATATTTATTATATATGTTTTATTTCAGTAGGTTTTTGGAAGGACAGGTGATGTTTGGTGACATAAATAAGTTCTTTAGTGGGGATTTGTAAGATTTTGGTGCACCCATCACCCGAGCATGTGCGCTGTACCCCATGTGTGGTCTCTTATCCCTCACCCACCTCCCACTCTTTCCCTGAGTCCTCAGAGTCCATCGTATCATTCATACAAAGAGGGCATACTTTCAGGAAGGTTTTAAATGTGATTTCTACCTCCACAGAGTTTTTGCTAACTCAATCCAAGCCAGAACAGCAAAATCTTTACAATCAGTCATGTTCTGCCTCTGGGAAACACATTTCAAGTAAACTTGTGTTATTTCCGGCCACTGGTGACTTACCCAGGGGTCTGAATGGTCTTGGTGGGGGCAGAGTTGCACTGAGTTCCATCAGGACTCTTTCTTTCACTCCATTCTCAACATCTGTCCATAACTCATATGCCCCTGAACACTGTAGGAAATGCAAAAATGAGTAAGAGATAGTCACGCCCCTTAAGCAGTTCATCACCTGGCGAGGAGGAGAAAAGCCTGGACATAATAATAGTAATACCAGTTAGAGGGTGATAAGATCTACGGAGCGAGGGGCTACCAGAGAAGGCTTCCTGAGGGTGATATGTAATGGGGGATCCAAGGGGCCAGTGCATTTCCATCAGTGAGATTCCAGGGAGAGAGACCCTTATAAGCCAAGACACACAGTGCTTTAGGATGCAGCAGGTGCTCCACGGTGCTCCTGCCCTGGACAGGGAGGATAGGGATGTGGGGAATTCAAACTGGAAAGTTAGGATGAGGTCAAACGAAACATCTAAGCCATGGGCATTTTTAGTCTCCGTATTACTGAGCCCTGGGATGTGGTCAGAAAGAGAATTCTCCTAGTTATAACTTTTTAACTTCACTTAGTAGGTAATAAAGGACTACAAGAAACTTTAAAATCATAATTTATAAAGTGCCTCCTATGTGCCAGGTATGTGTCTTATTGTAATCTTCATAGCCACTTTGCAGTATGGATGTCATGATCCCCTAGATGAAGAAGAACCCAAAACTCAGACTCGCACAGGCAGTGACAGCGCCAGGGTTTGAACCTGGTCTCCCTGGATTGTTGTTCCTGTTCACTGCAAACAGGGATCAGAGCTTTATGGAGATGATACTGGCATAGAGAGAGATCAGGTGCACAGTGACAGGTCATGAGGCTCTCAAAATAGTCCAGTCATGAGGCAAATGAGGACGCAGTGGCCAAAGACAATGACATGGGTAGTTTCTGTTATCAACAGGAATTTTCAGGCATTGCTCCAGGGCAGGAAACCATCTCATCACAGACCTTCTTTCTCCAAGAACTCAGTGTTGAAGCAAATCAGTCTTTTTATTCCTCAGGGTGAGAGTCCTCTAATGAAATCACACTGTCAAGAGATGCAATTTCTAGCTGATTCATAAGGGCAGATTTTCATTCTGAAAATTTCCAAAGCCACCATTTAACATGGCAAGGGTTTATGATGAGGATGTGTTAGTCAACTTGAGTGTTTTAAGTCTCTATATTACTGGGTCCTGGGATGTGGTCAGAAAGAGAATTCTTCTGCTGTTACCAACATGGCACGTTATTGAAGGCACCTTTCTCAGAACTGTGGAAATTCTGAGAGCTTATGTATCCCTTGATCATCTTTCTTTCATTCTAGGAATTCTGTGATCAAATCTTTATCCTCTAGACTTGAAAATATTTAAAAAAAAAAAAAAAAACAGTGCGGAAACCCATTGAGATGATGTGTTTGTGTAATTATCCCTTCTTGTAAAGACAACTGCCCACAATGGAATTTCCCATCTTCACCTCTGTCAGCCAAACACAAAATGTTCAGCCCTTCACATTTAATCTTTCAACTTCTTGAGGTCCCAAAGTATTATTGCCACCGTTACCTCATTCATCTTCACGACATGCCTTGAAGCTGTAGGGTTTCCTGAACACTGGGGCACTTCATAAAACAGTTGCTACTTTCCTTAAATAGGCAGTTTGGTAAATTACCTGTGCATAGCCTTCATTTTAGATGTGAGACTTGAAAAAGAAAAAAATTGACTTCACAATCCTACACCAAAAGAATGAGCTTCACAAATGCGTCAGTTAGAGGTGCTAATATAGAGAGGTTGGTGGCCTCCACCCCACTGCCCTCAGAGAAATGTTCCTAGACTGATTTTTGCCTAAAGCCTTGGATATTCTTTATACCTCTTTGTAATTGTTTGTTTGTTTGTTTTTTGTTTTTGAAACAGGGTCTCACTCTGTCACCCAGGCTGGAGTGCAGTGGCGAGATCTTGGCTCACTGCAACCTCTGCGTCCTAGGTTCAAGTGATTCTCCTGCCTCAGCCTCCGCGAGCAGCTGGGATTACAGGCGTGTGCTACCATGCCTGGCAAATTTTTGTATTTCTAGCAGAGATGGGGTTTCACCATGTTGGTCAGGCTGGGCTTGATCTCCTGACCTCAGGTGATCTCCCCACCTCGGCCTCTCAAAGTGCTGGGATTACAGGTGTGAGCCACCATGCCCAGCCCTCTTTGTGATTACTTGTTGGGGTCATTCCTCTGCTAGCTATGGACACCATCAAGGTAGGCAGTCCCTCAACATGGCAGCTGTTCACCCTTCTTCTCCGCTCCTCTTCTTGCCCCAGAATGAGCAGAAACTTTACAGATAAACAGAGAATTCCCTCAGGAAATGAGGCATGTTGCCCAAGGTCACCGGGAATAGAATCAGCAGGAAAGTAAACCTTGTAGAAAGCAGAAAGTGGGCCGACGCACTGAGAAGAGGTGGTGAGGGCGTGAGTGCTTGACAGATTTCCTCTGTAAAATGAGGAGGTCAACCCCAGGATGTTGAAACTCCCTTCCAGCTCCATCACTCTGTGTCAAGGATTCCGGAAAGGAAATCAAATGTCTGCTTAAAAGGCATTTTCAAGCTGGGGAGATTTTGGATGAAAAAGTTTCCCAAATGAAGACATACTGGCAGAGTCAGGGTTGAGTGACCTTTGTGTGTCAATGCACCCAAGCCTGATGTCTCACCGTGGGTTATTCCCAGCTCTGAAGAGGTACTGCCCTGCACCCAAGCGTGACCTGCTGCTTCTGTAATTGCTGCAGTTGCAGGTGTCAAGGCAAAAACTCCGCTAACTCAGTTCTCAACATCTATCCAGTACTGCTTATGCTCCTTTTCAATATCATAGGACAGACGTCCCCAAACTACGGCCCGCGGGCCGCATGCGGCCCCCTGAGGCCATTTATCCGGCCCCCCGCCACACTTCAGGAAGGGGCATCTCTTTCATTGGTGGTCAGTGAGAGGAGCACAGTATGTGGCAGCCCTCCAATGGTCTGAGGGACAGTGAACTGGCCCCCTGTGTAAAAAGTTTGGGGACGCCTGCCATAGGACATGTGAAAATGAGCAAAACATACTCCTGATCCTTGTGAGAATCATAAGCTGGTGAGGAGGAGAAAGGCATCGAAATAGTAACACAAGTCATATATGGTAAGATCTACCGAGCATGGGGCTATCAGAGAAGGCTTCATGAGGGTGACATGGGAAGGGAGCCCCAAGGGACCAATCAATTTCAATCGGTTCCAGGGAGAGAGGCTCCTGGTGAGCCAAGACACAGCAGTGCCTAGGGAGCAGCAGGTGGTCCACTGTGCTCCTGCCCTGGACAGGGAGGAAGGGGCTTCTGCTGTTTGTTTGCTTG